AAAATTATAATCTTATAAACTAAAACTTAATTACTGTTGTTGTGTAACTTCTGATGATGTTTACTTCCAAATTCATTGGAGTGAGGGTATATTTTGAAGTGATAGTGGTTTAACATTGGCCTGTAACGTAAATAATTTAAAATATTTTTAATTATTACTGAACTTGAAAGAACGAGTATAGAAGACAAAATGTAATAAGGTAAAAATATAAATAAAAATGGCAGGTAAAATGTAAAAATGAACATACCGAGGAAGAGCGTAGATATGTCTTGAAGGTATTCAGAAGTACTAACGTATCCGAGGAGAACTGGATCAATACTGATCACTTATAGAGAGAGTAGGTGAAAGGTGGTTGTTGAGATTGGGGTCGAGTGTCTGAAGGACATTGAAGATGGGGTTATTAAGGTATATGTTATTATCGTTTAGGCAAAGGTTTTGTTTAAATGTTTGTTGTATATAATATAACAGGAACAATGGATATTTTAAAATAGTACAAAATAAAAGACATAGAGATACAATAGAACAATATTATATACAACAAACATTTATAGATTAAGATTATAATTTTAACTTTTAACTTTACACCTGAAGATGGTTCAATGTAACCGAAACATGTAGTAAAAAGTTGTACCAAATATCTAAATGATATTTTAATATCTTATGTATAATTTTATTTATATACAATTGTGATTAGACGGAAAAAAACACGAATAATTAAATTTTAATTCACAATATGACGCAATTATATCAAAATATTTATTTATGTTACATAAACAGTACAATACTTTGCTTGTCATTGTAATGTCGGCATCTTGTACGCTGTTCTAGAACAAATCACATAACTGGAATGGAGCGGACTCAACGTTCAGATTCCATTCATCAGACACGACAGCCATCTTGAAGTAATTGAGAAACCCACATCTAATTTTCTGGCGAATTAAAAGTGTCTTACCACGTACTAAGTTATGTCACGAAATTAAGTAACGATCCACAATTACAGGAATTTGCTCGGCGAATATCTAAATCAGCAGCGAATGGAAATTAAAACAGAATAGAGAAGAATCATTGCTGTTGCATTGTTCTTTTTAAATTATAAATTGGGTGCAGAACAGAAAGGTCTACACACAGAAAACTGTCTGTGGCGTGAATGAATGAAGCATTTCTTCCGCCAACGTTTCGAGAGCCATCTCTGCTCTCATCCTCAGGGCAGCTGCAAAACGAAACTGGTCCTATGTAGCTCGCTCGCCGATGGGAACGTTGGCGGAAGAAATGATTCATTCACCATTCAGCCACCTGACCCGAGAGACTTTCATCAACTTCAGTCGCCGCGACGTTTCACTTTACACATCAGTCTCATTAGACTTAGATTTGGCATACTTAATTCTAGACTTTCGTTACAAATCCCACACGAATAAAGTATTCAGTTGTCCCTACATAGGCCTATAGGTACACGTTTCGATAATTTAGCCATTTTCTTCTTCATTAACGAGGCGTATCTTACATTTCGCAACTGTGTTTGGCGTACTTTGGCTGCTGCAAGTAGTTTACCTTGAGGGAGGGTAGAGTGTACAGTGTAGAGTAGCCCAACAGCAGCGGTTGCCTATCCAGGGGTTGGAGGGGAGAGAAAGCAGTCAAGTCGGCGTGAGCGTATCAATCTAATGGGGTAGACCCTTTTTGATAGGAAACACAAATTCGGTTTTCTTACCTGCATCCATACACATTAACGGGGATTATCTTATTTTACTTTTTTTACAGACCTACTTTTTGTATTAATACATTTGTGTTTTCTTTACAAGAACGTTTCCACAGTGCAGACCCTTTAGAAAAATAAGGCTCTAGTGCCTGCCATGACAGTATAACCATACTGGCATATTTTTGTAATCTTGCAATTACTGCTGAATTTCCAACGATGGCAGTGGCAGGTAGTAAAATCAGAATCATTTTCAAGAAAGTTTGAAAGTAAAAGGAAAATCATAATACTTGGAAGCAGTCATGGGAGGGATATTGGACCCATGCTTAATGAAAATCTGGGCAATAAGTTTGATATAGTTAGTATTTTTAAGCCAAATGCTCCTCTTGCAAATGTCATTGAAGACCTGGGGAAGCTTGGTAAAGGCCTTACCAAGCAAGATCATATTCTTATAGTGGGAGGGCCAGGTAATAGCCTGGATAGGAATAAAAAATACTCAATAGAAAAGGATGTCGACTTCATTGCAAAGAGGACTACCAACACAAATGTGGGACTTGTCAACCTCTTCAGCAGGCACGACAGGCCGTGGATGAACGAGAGGGTTAGGAGAGTGAATCTTCGGCTTGATCGAGCCCTGATGGGGCGTGACACGTCTCACATTGGTGTCATTGACACGGCTTCTCTTGTGAGAGGTGACTACACAACACATGGCCTACACTTAAATTCCTTGGGCAAAAAGAGGCTGACGCATCTGATTGCTGGAAGAATATGTGGTGGCCATGTGTCAAGTGTTAGCAACATTCCTGTTATTACCCATGTCAGAACCTCGCCTTTTTTAGCTTAAAATCAAAAGCACAGAGGTGCTTGACATATATTGATTGCAATTTCCTTGGTCATAAAGTTCGCAGTAAAAATGTTAACCCAATAAATTCATTAAATATCTTTCATCAAAACATCAGAGGAAAAAAGTAAAAGTGATGAGTTAAAACATCCTTTGGAAATAGACAGCATAAATCCCCATATATTGTGCCTAAGCGAACATCACATAGTTGAACAGGATTTGCTGCACCTCACATTAGATGGTTATTCATTAGGTTCCAGTTTCTGTAGACAAAACCTGCAGAGGGGAGGAGTATGTATTTTTGTTAAGAAAGACCAATGTTTCAACAAAATTGATATTTCACAACACTGTAAAGAACAGGATTTAGAAATTTGTGCAATTC